AATTCAAATGCTTAAAAGGTTATTTATTTTCATTTTAATTTTTATATATTTTTTTCCGTCAACATTAGGAAATTATTGAGCGTAACACATTACCGCATAAATATAAGCGAGTACGTCGCCCCAGCGAGTCAGATGAGGATGCTGAGAAGTGTGCCATATGTTTGTCGTTATTCGAGATTGAAAACGATGTGCGGTGAGTAAATAAAATTGTTGTTGTTGTTTATTTTTCCAGTTGTTGCTACTAATCTGCGGTCGCTCTTGACGAATGGTTAAAGTTGCGTACTACCTCTCGGTAGGATCTAGGTTCCATCCCTGGTCCGAGTAACTTCTAAAAATAGAAAAGATGTGAAATTGTATGGCGGAGTCGAAGGATCTTTTCACCGGTGCGGCGTCATCCATGCTTACAACATGTCCAAGCCAGCTTAATCGCTGTATTTTTATCCTCTTAACTATGTCCATATCGTTAAAAATGCTCATACAGTTCGTCACGTCATTCCATCTTTATCTATACCCGTCGTCCATGCGTACAGGGCCGTAGATCTTGCGTAGAATAGTTTTCTCGAGAGCGCCCAAAGCCTTCTCATCTTATTTCGACAGGGTGATTTTTGCAGGTTGATGTTGTTGGTGGTGTTATGCTGGATCCTAGGTAGACAAAGTCATTCACTACTTCAAAGTTATAGCTGCAAACAGTGTCCCGAAACGCGTGGACTCTTTATGGTGCTTTGCATTGATGCATAAATGAAAACCACACTTGGGATCATCTAACATCCGAGGGCACGGTGAAATCCAGAGATCTATTCTCAATACTAAAATTGATCTAGAATTAGTAAATGGAAATAGTAAATAAAACGCAGTTTCCTTGCTGATCAGCGATAAGAACGAACGATATCCTTAATGCAAAAAATATACTTTAATTTTCTCAAACACAAGAGCATATAGCTTTTGGTAGGAGGTGTTAAAGTACACCTTCAATCAAAATTTTAAAGTGCTCTTACCAAAACTAACGCAGTTACATGCCACTCGTTTTAAAATGTTTTTTGCTTCTCTTGCAAAATAAAAAAATTTGTTGGTTCGAGCCTTTGTGAATTAAACTAACGATATCTATTTTTATATAAATTTTATTGAAAAATTTAGCATTCAAGTTTCTTTTACTCGTTAATTTCTCTTTATAGCCGCTTACCTTGCATGCATCTATTCCACACCGATTGCGTCGATCAATGGTTGGTCACCAATAAACATTGTCCCATCTGTCGTGTGGACATCGAGACACATTTAACTAAAGATGCGACCACTACTAGTGCTTTATGACACTCATCCACAACGGGGCTGCTGATGTAATGTGGGGAGAAATGTGGGAGACCGGAGAGAGAATAGAGATACTTAAAATCTGCAGCAAAACATCGAAAAGAATGCAAAGGAAAGAAATGCGCGACGATCGCAATTATTGTACAACTCAAAGTTGATACGCCATGAAAAGCAGAAACATAGCCTATAAGTTATTTACATAAAAGTAAAAAAAGAAATATTAAGAAATATTTTTTAATCCGGGTACCTACATTCGCACCAAGATTCAATAATAATTATAATTATTGAATCATGCATTCGCACATTTGCTGCAAAAGTGTCATAATAATAATGTGCCCACTACCAATAACTCACTAGAATAAAATATATATTAATTTTTACTATGGGAGTATATATGTATAAACTCAAATCTTTAAAGGCGTTTTTCTCGTTTTTTTTTTTTTTTTTTTGGATTATGACACTTGCGGCAAATGTGGGATATCCATTACAAGCCATGCAAGAAAAAATTGAATT